GTGCTAGGGGAGTTATTGATATGGGGATAAGTAATACAAGTACACTAGCGGCTGCCTGGGTTAACCGGAGAAGAAGAAAACACCGAGCAGACCACTTAAACGCAATGGAGGAAGCAATGCACTTGCAGTGGCAGCAGCGGAGTGACAAAAAGGATACTGCTCTATGGCGTGGGAAGAATGATGTTTTCAGGCCGCAATTCTCATCAAAAGATACTTGGAACCATATACGTACAACATCGAACACAGTTGCATGGCATAGAGGAGTTTGGTTTGCACATGCTACACCAAAGTACTCTTTTTGTATGTGGCTGGCCATTCAGAACAGGTTGTCGACAGGAGATCGCATGTTAAAATGGAGAGGGGGAGCAATGGGGATGTGTGTGCTGTGCCAAAACTGTATTGAATCTCGAAATCATCTTTTCTTTGAGTGTGATTTCAGTTCAACAGTTTGGGCAGCCCTTGCACACGGCCTTCTCAAATCACGGTACACAACCGATTGGCAGCTTCTTATAGACATCATATCTACCAACCAATTCACCAAAGTGGAGGCCTTTCTCACTCGATATGTAATCCAAGCAGTCGTTTATGCTATATGGAGAGAACGAAATGGAAGAAGGCATGGAGAAAGTGCACAAACGGCTGCACGCATTACGGCATGGGTTGACAAACAGATAAGGAATCGAATCTCAGCCATCCGCCTGATGGGAGACAAGAGATATGAGAAGGCCTATCAATTCTGGATTCAAACCCGAGACTAAGCTATATGTGATCTTTTAATTGTCTTTTCAGCTACTTATTCAAACAAACGAATCACTAGTTGTACAAACGTTTATTTTTTCTTTTGAGTATAATTTAACATTACATTCAAAAAAAAAAAAAAAGAGTTATACTAAATTGTCACCCAACCTTTTTTACTACATAATGTTTACTTCTACGGTCATTTTTTACAGTTTCCTTACTCGACATGTTTGCTAATTAATGCGAGCCTATCAAATGGTCATGATGAATGAATCACTACCACGTATCCATCGGCTTTTCGTTAGATGATACACAAAAGAGTGAAGTTGTAGTATTATAATTTTGAAGATCATGATGAGTTTTAAAATAGTTAGTTCTGTTGATTATATTTTGTATATAATAAAGATCCATGCTAGTATGAGATTTTTAACAACTAACAATGAGAAGTCCAAGTGCATGTTCAAATCCAATCTTTAACATTTTTTTTACATATCAATGACGATTAATATATATGTTAGTAAGTGTTCCAACAACATTTTTATCATATAGTTGGAATTTTATTGATGATGTATGAAAGGTCTCAATCTATTTTTTTTATATTATATGAAAGCTCGCGTCTTTTCCTATATAGGTCTTTCAAAATAAAATATGACCGTATGTTTACATATATTGATTAAGTTATTACGTATACATAATGGGTAATGAATGAGACTTTATTTAAAAATTAACTTCTTTTGACTATATTTTGTAACAAAGATTCATACAATATAGAAGAGATACAATATAGAAGAGATTTTAAAGCATTGAGCTTTAAAAAACATATGGTCGTATGTTTTCATATATAGCTTCAGCTAATTTGTATACCTAATGGATAATGAATTAAACTTCTATCTAAATATTGAATTAATTTGACGATATTTTGTAACAAAGATTCATATAATTAAGTATGGATGAGAATTTTAAATACTAACAATAAGACGTTCATTTATATGTTTAAGTCAAATATTTAACAATATTTTTATAGATCAATGACGATTTAATATACTAGTAAGTGTTCTCAAAAGATTTTTTTTTTATCGTATAACTATAGTTGTTATCCTATTGGTGATGTACTCAATCTCACATCGTTTTCCCTTTAAGTCGACTTAAAAAAAACATTTTCATCATATACTTCTATATCTAAATTAAGTTATTTGATATATATATATATATTTGCCATGACTATCGACAAGAGCCCAAAATAATCACTCAGTGAAGTTGGACTATATTTGCCAAGGTTCGTTTTCTCGCATGAACAACTTTATGTTGTTTTCTCAAAGGTAACTTCAAAAAAAATGACTACAAGTGCTAATTATGAGACAAACCATGAATGTAGTGTTCAAAGAGGTGAAATAACTTCTCTTTAATTTAAAAATTATGAAGAGCGTCAATCTATTTTTACGTTTTACACAATCTCATGTCCTTTTCTATATAGGTCGACTTTTAACAAAAACTTGGTCACGTAGTTCCATGTAGTTTAAGTTATTTAATATATTTAGGGGATAACGAGGTGAACATTTATCTAAAAATTGAATCATTTTGAAAATATTTTACATATAACAAAGATTCATGCTAAGTATGGATGAAATTTTTAACTACTAACAATAACAAGTCCATGTGTACGTCAAAATCAGATTTTCTACTTTGTTTTTACATATGAATGACGATTTAATATGCTAGTAGTTGGTCTGATAATAGTTTTATTAAATAGTTGGTATCCTAGTGGTAATTGTAGAAGTCGAAACTTGCACGATCGAAATTTGTATTAGGTTCGTGTTTAGGGATACAGTTTGCGAGAATCTCAAAGAGCAACAGAAAGACTTGATAACCGAAGATGGTGTTCTTGATATTATTGATGAAAAGAATTGTTTTGATTGTACAAAAGCTTAGATCTTTAGAAAAAAAAGTGTTTGTTTTTGCGGTGATTGCCTTCTAATACAGAGCTCTTGCGTTGTCTGAAGTCGAGAGCGTTTTTCTTGTCTCCTCCTTTTGCGAAGTCCTTGAGTCGCATTATATAGAGATGGTAAATCGCCTCTCCAGTGATATATTCGGAAAATTTCCATTTTTCTCAGAGTCGGCTTAGAATATCTCGGATTAGGATACTTTTCTTATTCTTCGGGAACGTTTGGAAGATTTCTTGATTTGACATGATCATTCAAGATTCTTCCTTATCATTTCCGAGTATCCTAGAAATGATCCTACATTTTTGGAAATGATCCTTTTATTCGGAAATGATCTTTTAGAATGAATATTCACCAAGTCTTTGCCTCGGGTTCTTCTGAAGACTTTTCCTCGGGTGACTCTGAAGACTTCTCCTCGGGTTTCCTCTCTCGGCTTGGTGACCCCTTCAAGAAGTGGCCTCGGGACACTTGGTGTGATCGGCTCGGGACGCGGTGACAGTGTGACCGGTACCCCGAGGTGATGTAAACTGTATCCCGAAACGATTTAGACTGTACCCGAGGCGAGGTGAGATGTATCCCGAGACGAGGTGAGATGTACCCCGAGGCGATTTGAGACAAAGGACCTCAAGGTGTTTTCATTGTCGATGTTTGTCTCTGTCTCAAGAGATGGGTGAAATCCGACTCCAACAGTAATGTACGAATGAGACTCTCAATCTATGCATTATCTTCAATTTTTGTCTTTTCCTATATATGTCAATTTTAAAAATATTTTGTCATAAGGGAAAAGACAAATGAAGTTCTCGTACATTAAAAATATTTTCCTATATATGTCTATTTTAAAAATGTCGACTATATTTTGTTAAAAAGAGTCATACTAGACTAGTATGAAATTGTTAACTACTCATAATGAGAAGTCCAAGTGTATATTCAAATAAAATATCAATTTAACTCTAATTTTTACATATCAAATAATGGTTTTATGGGGGTCAATTGACACCCATGGAATTTTAGAAACTAGTTTATTTTTTTATTAATTATTCGAAATTGACTCTATTACAGACCTCTATCAAATTTTAATTTAATAGCAAACCACTAAATATGTATATACACTAGAAAATGCTAGTTCAATAAAAACTCAGTACAACTAAATGCCCATATATATATAAAGTTAAAAACATGTCCATTAAAATGAATTCAATCTAATTATCTCTATTCTCTAGTTATTTATGACCTTGTTTTTTTAGTTCACCATTATCCATTGAAAATCACATTAAAAATAAAGTTCAAGATAAAAATTTATACACACTTTATTTCAAGTAAATGTTTTGATGATTTTGTTGGTGTATTGATGGAATACAAAAAAATAATTCTCATCTTTTGGTTTATCGATTTTTGATTCTTTGCATTGGGACTACAATAGGTGAAATATGTTTCTTTACAATAAATATTGTGAAAACGATCTCATGTAATCGTATAGTTGATATCTTTTTTAAGTGATTGTCTATTTTTTTTTTCAAAAAAATATATTTAACATTGTGGCAAGCGAAACAATAATAAACCGATTACAAAATATGTCTATGATACAACTTTAGAAATATACTTTTGTTGATATTTTTATGTTTTCTAATAAAGTTAATATAATTTTAAAAAAAAAAAACTTTGACCCTAATAAACAATTTTTCTGCCTCCGCCGTTGTATGCTATCTCCAAAATGAAATCAAAGCTCATTCTCTTTCAATGTGGTTAATCTTCTAGTCATCAAACAATGAATCATCTTCCTAGATAAGTTAACCCTCTTGATATAGCTTTCAAAACAGGTCGTAAAAATAACTCTTTGATCATCGGAGAGGATGCCTTTGACTTTGACTTTTCTGCATCGGAGAGAATTATTTATGTGATATATTATATTAATTTTAACGAAAAGAATAGCAACATCGGGCGTTTGGTCTAGTGGTATGATTCTCGCTTAGGGTGCGAGAGGTCCCGAGTTCAATTCTCGGAACGCCCCTATTTCCTCTACCTTTTTTTATATATTAAAACTCCTAATGGGCCAGGTATTATCTATATGTCATAGAGGCCCAGTAAGAAGCAAGGGTTATCTCATGTATAAGATCTTTAAGGCTTGGCTTTGGAAAATGTTCGGTCTAAATATTTTGAACGATCAATTTAGAAATCGTAAGAACCATATTAGGCAATAATCAAGATTTGATCATAAAAGAACATCAAATAATCCTCCGTTAATTTTGTCTCATATACATTTTTTTGTCTTCTTCCTCTTATTGGAACTATCGTAAAATAAAAATTCTCAAGAAACAAACAAAATTGGACTTTAAAGAATTTTGGATAAACACACAAAAGTGGAATTATATTACATCTGATTCGTCATCATCTATAAGACAATAAATAAAAATATTTTTAAAAAATTCCGTTATGAGACACTACAATACATATTTAGAACAGAGAGAGAGCTTATATAAACAACACAGAGGAATGGATACAAAAAAGAAAGAGACTTTGTTTGAGAGATGGTTTTATCTGGTCTGGAAGTTGAGAGTTCTGATGCAGAATGCGAATATGAAGGCGAAGAAGACGGTGAAAGCGATGAGTACAGCCGCTACTGGTCCCATAAAGTCAGATTGGAAACCATAATGGTCCTCAATGTATTGCTTAACGGTTAAGCCAGGAGCACCACCAAGGACTTGGATAGGTGTCTCAACATCACCGTACTGCGACACGATCAATCCATACACGGTCCAAGCAACAGGGCAGATCCAGTAGTACCAAATCCACCATTTTGGGATTTTGGGTCTTGGAATGAAGAAGCCAGAGAAGAGGTTGAAAATGCCGTAAAACGCTGAGGCGAAAATCGAAGCAACTTGTTGGTTTGGTGTGAGGGAAACAGTCATCATGCCGTAGTATGTCCAGTAGAGGAATGAGAAGTAGCTAACAAAGAGGAACCAGAAGAACTTTTCGGCTTTCCACTCGAAACCAACCATGGCATAGACGATGAGTGAGTAGTAAACGGTCTGAATAAGGACATAGGGAAGCTCACAAGTGACTTGAGAGATGGCATATGGCATGGCTGAGTACATTCCTGCTGCTCTTTCTCTGTAGAACACAGTTCTTTCCACTGCAACCATCGGTTGTACTGTTGAACAGTTGTTGATTCCCACGAAAATAACTGCGGCGTACAATGCTCCTATAACCATTGTTAAGTCCCCTGCGTTCGACCTGTTACCTCCGATTTGCCAGAAGACGGTACCAATCAAGAGAGATGTTGCCAATGTGAAGATGAACCGGACAAGATTGTAGTCTGGAGATCTCCAATACGTCCACCATTGCTTCCATAAGCATGATTTGAACTGTCCCCATGTGTTTTGTGAGAATTGTGTAGCAAAGTAAAGATCTGATGCTCCTGCTGGTGGTACACTTAGTTCTTTTACCAACGCTTTGTTTCGCCTGCACAGTTATGTATTCATTAGTACTATTACTTAATCAATCAATCAGATGCAATGAGCCTTGGAAAAGAAGGAACTTAAACTTACTGGTGTAATGCGGATTGATTGTATAACTCAGCAAAGTCAACACCTAGCTTAAGCTCAGCGGCGAGTGAGCTAGCTTCGAGCATCCAAGTGGCCGGGTTATACTTTGCTGGAATCTTGGGCACTCCGGGGAAAGATTCGAAGTACTCAACCACCTTGTGAGAGTTTTGACCCAATGGACCAGCGTAAATCACTTGTCCTCCTCTCTTCATCAGCATCAATTCATCAAATGCTTCAAAGATATCAATGCTAGGCTGATGAATGGTGCAGACCACGGTTCTTCCAGTGTCCACTGTGTTCCTTACCGCCCTCATCACAATAGCCGCTGCTCTAGCGTCTAGCCCTGAAGTTGGCTCATCCATAAAGATGATGGAAGGGTTGGCTACAAGCTCCACCGCGATTGTCAGTCTCTTTCTCTGCTCCGTGGAAAGCCCCGTGACACCCGGTAAACCAACAATGGAGTCCCTAAGACTGTCCAGCTCTACCAATTCCATCACTTGATCCACAAACATCATTTTTTCATCTTTGCCGACTTCTTTAGGAAGACGAAGGAAAGCAGAGAAAATCAGAGATTCTCTGACTGTGACTTGCGGGGAGTGAATATCGGTCTGCTCACAATATCCTGAGATTCTAGCAAATGTCTCTTGAACCTTTGGGAATCCTGATATTCTCACATCTCCTTCAATGTATCCTCCTGTTTTCCTTCCGGCCAAAACGTCCATAAGCGTAGTCTTACCAGCACCACTCACTCCCATAAGTGCAGTCAAAACTCCGGGCCTAAATGCACCAGTCACACCTTTAAGCAGTTGCAGTCTGGTTTCTGTAACTCCTTGGTCTCTCATTTCCTATACCATCAAAACATTTATATTTAGTTCATGTGTTTCTCATTTGGTTTGGTGTAAAGATTCAAGTGAAGATAGTTACTTACCGCTGGCATGTCAACAAAGTATTTGACGTCGTCAAAGGACATAGCTAAAGGAGAGAAAGGAAGAACCATTCCTTTCTTATTGCCAGCACCACCTGATGCTTCAGCCGCAGAGTCCCTACTCATTCTCCCCATTGCGACCTCTCCTCCTGATAGCAGGGACCAGAATGAGACAAAAGAATACATGACAAGCAAAACATCTAAGCAGATTAAGATATGTGTTTACTTACTTCTGTTCCCATCTGCAGTAGACAAAGATCTACGCATTGGATCTTTTCCCTGATCAGCGTCTTCATTTTCTTCTTCTGGAAGTAAACCTGCCTTCTTTCCAAGAGCTGTAGTTTCAAAGGTACATTATTAGTAGTCTATTGTTTTAGCTTTTGTAAAACGGGTGATGCAACACGAGAACTTACGGTTGAGATAGGTAAGTGCCACGGTGAATAGAAGGTTGAAGAGGGCTGTGAAACCAAGCAAGGCTCCAACTGCAATCCAGTACCAGTTTTTTTGATGGTAGACATCCCACGTATTAAGCACCATAGTTCCAAGCCTTATTGTACTGTTAGAAGAAGCCTGTAGTTTTGAAAAAATATGACTCAGAGACGCTTAACTAGGATATATGTTTGTAAAATGCAGAATAAAGAAGTAAGCCACTTACCATTTTGTTCATCCATCTGGGAGCAAACATCTCATTGACGACTAGACCGTTGAAAGCATAGGTGAGAGGAGATACCCAGTAAGCCCAACCCCACCAGTCAGGAATCTCTTTTTTCGGAAGAAGGAAGCCTCCGAGCAAGAACACAAGAAGTAGAGTAAGAGCACCACCAGTATTAGCAATCATCATGGTTCTGCACACAGAAGCAATCAATCTAAAGAGGGATGCAGCCATTTGTTGAATCAGAAACACCAGGAGAAACTGCTTGAAGAAGCGGCCGGCGTCAGGTGCAAAACCGATGGAGTAATAAGTGACCACCATCCATGCCGTCGATTCTATTATTGAGCTCGGAATCCCAAGCAAGAAAGTGGGAAGTGTGAAGGTCCAGGATGGATAAAACAAGAGATCCCTCTGTTTGTAGAACACAGGGAGTCTCGAAACCATCATAGCCATCTCTGCAAACCCATTAAACATGTTGATGATCATTCCAAAAAGCAATGCTCCGATGTAGAGGTTAGCATCACCCTCGTTTCTTGTGTTCATTTCGGTTCTGAGGAAGAGTGTAGACGTGATTGCAGCGATGATGACGATCTGGACAGTCTTGAAAATGTAGAAGAACGCGTTTCGCTGCATAAGCAGCCACTCTTTGTCCCAACAGCTCTTGAGAAGCTCCCTCTTTGAGATAGAGTACTTATCGAACACAAGAGCCGCTTTGTGGCCGCGAGACTTATCGAACGGTACCGCAAGTTCGTTAGAAATCTGCGTCCCAACATGGAAACTCTTGTATCTACTGGCAAACTCTGAAACCGGAATGTAGCGATAAGGTCTGTTCGGGTTCACCCAGTACTGTTCTTGATCTTTCTTGGAAGTGACCTCTTGCAAGAAATCAGCCGTTCCTTTTCTCTCAGGACACTTGAACCCAAAGCTCTCAAAGAACTCAAGAATGTTGTCCCTCGGTCCTTGGTACACGATCTGACCTTCCGACAACAAAATGATGTCATCGAATAAATCAAATGTCTCAGGAGCAGGCTGGAGAAGAGACATGAGCACCGTGGCTTCATTGAGGTGAACAATTTGTTGCAGACACTTGACGATTTGAAAAGTGGTGGAACTGTCAAGACCAGTGGATATTTCGTCCATGAAGAGTGTCTTAGTAGGTCCAACAATCATCTCACCAGTTGTGACACGTTTCTTCTGACCTCCGGAGATACCTCTCATCATGTCATCTCCAACTATTGTGTCTTTGCAAATGTCAAGCCCCAAAATCTGTTACACGGCCAAAGTTAGTGTTATACAATAAAGTCTTAAAAGACTAGAACTTGATGAACTTGACAAAAGATTGTCTAAAAGACTAAAACATTTAGAATATGGAAAATTATATAAATTACATTTTTACTACATATATAACTCTTTTTTTTTTTTTTTTATCAAAATTCTACATATATAACTAAAAATGTAAATTTATATGAAACACACAAAAAAGTATCGGTTCGGTTCTGGATTTTAAAATAATGAAACCAAACGGTTTATAAATAAATTTTGGCTCGGCTTCGGTTCGGTTTAATCCGATTCGATTTTATGGTTGCCTACTACTAACACTCTTGAAACAAAAACTACAAGTTGAGCAAAGTTATAAAAAGAGAGATGAGACTCACTTTGAGAGTATAATCAGTGACGATACTGCTCTTAACACCTTGAGCAGCCGAAGCTTTCATGAAGAGATCAACATCGGCTTCCGGGAATATCCCAGCGTCCTTTTCTCTCCTTGCAAGCTCATTCAACAGATCTACAACAAGAAGAATCAAACCATTCAACAAAACTGAATCTTGACAATTAAAAATGATTAAAGATTGAATCTTTTACTTACCATAACGAGTACCAACACCTTGACACCTAGCAGAGAAATCAAGAGTCTCCTTAACAGTCATGATACCAACATGAAGATCGTTCTGACTAATGTAAGCAGAGGTCTTTCTTGGCACAAACTCGTCGAGACGGTAACCATTGTAAGTAATATCACCACTAACTTGAAGGGCCTTATCGAGTTTACCAGCTAAAGCCAACAGAAGCGTGGTCTTACCAGAAGAAGGAGGACCCAACAAAAGTGTCATCCTTCCAGGTTTAAGAACCCCAGAGATATCTTTAAGAATCGTAAGCTGAGCTTTCTTAGCAAATTGAATACCAATCAGACCTAAAGCTGATTCTCCCATATTCCTCACAACATTCAAAAGTGTAGGAAGAGATCTATTACCAGTGTAACAATCAGCTTTAATCGTCAAATGCTCGTACCTGACTTCAACTGTTGGTAGTTTGATACCAACTCTATCGATTCTGTTTCTTAACTTAGTCAAGATCCTTTCATTATCTTGCTCAGCTACTTTGAAAACCATGTCAATGAACTTCTGACGATCTTCACCATCAAGCTTGGTTACATCAACCTCCTTACTCATGAGCTGGTTACCGTAAACATCGTCTTCAACAACAGCGTTCATGAGAGTGGTACGAAGACGACTGTAAGTTGGTAGCTTCTCAATGGCTGCCCATTTAAGAGCTTCTTCATCGTCGTTGACTGATTGTGTTCTTCTTGAACCTGATGAGAAGATATCTTCAATGTTTCTACTTGCTCTGCTTACACTTCTACTTATGCTTCTTCTCATACTACCACCACCTCCTCCTAATGGAGGAAGATTTGGATTGTAATCCATCCCTCTTCAAAAGTTTGTGTCTTTGTATCAAAGTTTGAGACTTTTGATCTAATCTTGTGAGTATTTTAGTTGGGAGATACAGAGAAGAGAGAGAGGAGAGGATTGATGATGAATGAAGAGAAGAGGGAGAGGTTAGAAAAAGGATAAATAGGGAGTGAGGAAGGAACATCAAGGAGGACTTTTCTTTGTGTTGACTATTCTTTACTTAGTTGAAATAATCAAAAAATAATAAAAAGTCTTGTTTTTTATGTGCAAGATGGCTTATATTATTCAAATGCGACGGCTGTTTTACGTTGTTTTTTTAATGACAAAAAGATATTTTTTTGATAATAATGCGACGGCTCTTTAACGTTGGTTATTTTATTACAAAGATATTAGGTAATAATTGAAGTGTTTTGAACATTTCATATTCAAAGTCAATAACGATGACCCCATTTAGTTATCGTCGCTACTACTAGTGGAGATATGGTTAAATGAAAAGTCTTTCTTGTGTACTTTAACATTTTATTGGTAGGAAAAGAAAGAAAGACCGTCGTTGGGTGTTTTAAGTCATTGTGTTTTGGAAAGTGAGAAGTTGTTGTTGATCAAGTCACATTCACATTTCAATTCAACACATACGTGAAGGATGGTTCGTTTATAAGTCTTTGTGTTCTGGAATATGAGAAGTTGCGGAGGAAGAAGCCAATTCACATACCCGGAATTAAGTTTATAGTGACAACTCCCCAATGTTGTTATGATAAGTTGTTGAAGACTCCATTGACTTCCTTTTCAACTCTGCGTTTGGCTTCTTTCTCAACTAATCTTGATTAGTGATCTTTAATTTGGTATTAACCCATCTCTAATTCATTGCTTCAGCAAGCAATTTCCCTTTCTCTGAGCTATTCTTAGCTTCTTGAACAATGTTCCACAGGTTGGTTTCTTTGTCAATTAAGCTCTCATTTTCCGAAAACTCTTTAATCTTCTTGAGATAGGTTGTCTCCTTCAGTCTTCAGTTTATCCACCAAGCTTTCATTTACATTTGACGACTCACCGATTTTTTCAAGAGGACAAACCTCCATTGCTCTGAGGCTTTTTGTTTTCTAGAGCAACATTCTTTGGCTCGACCTTTTTGTCCAACAAGTTTTATGCTTTCAGTTTCCATTTCTCCAACTCTTTCCTACAGATCCTTACGTTTGATATTTTATACGGGCTGCTTCTTCTCATTTTGCTTAAGATTAAGAAAATTCACCTTGCCAAGTTCTTCCTGCATAGAGAAAAGTTTTCTTCACCCGATTTCTTCACACAAACGATCAAATGAAGTTCTTGCTCTTCCCACTCAGGCTATCAATTTCGTTGCTTGCACTTTCAAGCCTTTTTCCATACTTCTCATTTGTATCTATTGCAGCCCAAACTTCTAATCTGGGCTGCACAATGTGCTAGCAAAGATTGACATCTCAAGAAGATACTACTTGCAAATCCAAAGTTAAGCTTACCAAAGATTTGTTGCTTTTCCCTTCTTCTTCTTACAGTTTTCCAACTCAGTTGCAAGTTCCATCTTTTTCATTCAATAGGTTCCAAAAATGAGATGTTGAAGTCTTTTTATTGATCTAACCTTTCCCTCCTTGGCCGGTTTCAATGTTATTGACGCAACATGCTTTTCTAGCTTGGAAGTTTCTTCATTTAATATGCAAACTTGGCCTGGTAGAGAGAAGAACTGAAATGTCCCAAGGCATTCTGGCTTCTAATAGACTCAACCTCTTTCTACCAAAAGTTTTCATTTTTGTGAAACACTTTAGTTCCCAACTGTTCTCAATACTCTCCTCAACACGATTCTAAGCTGCCAACGCATGTCTGAGTTTGGCATTGCTTTACTTTGTCAATTTTTCAGTAGATAATGAAGAGCTCTAGCTTCATCATTCTTAAGCATTGCTACTTGCTCATTAGCTCTCCTAAAATCCTCCTGAATCTGATTCAGTTGAGCTGGTAACTCAGATTCCTTCCTTCACCGTTATCGCGCTTTCTGAAAATGCCAAAAACAAATATGATGATCAATAATAGTCTACCAAATTGGCATCATATTAGCTCGCATCGGTGTTGGCAAAAGCAGTTTGCTACAAGAAGTCTTCTCCATCGAACCAGATGAACCACAATGTCACAGTCAAAGCAATGAACAATAATTAAACAAACAAACCATCATCTCCATTTAATCGAATCTTTGGTCGATTAACTTCAAACACAAGCTTAAAAGTTAAAACTCACTAACTTAATCCACTATTCAAACAATTTATAGCCTTAGCTTACAATGAAATTCATGATCCAACTACTTGAAATAAGATCCATCTCAATTTAAAGCTCTAATTATCAATAACAAGATCATTAAACAGATAATAAGCATCTAAATGAACATAGGTACTTATATTATAATCCAAAAACACATTTTTTCCACCATACATCTGCTGATCACACAAGTTATAACATGCTATTAGCTTTCACTGATTCTTAGCTTAAAACTACATATTCAACAGAGACACACACACAAAGTCAAGACCCAAAGAATTCAGTTCAAACTAAATTGGCTTAACCAGAGATGTCAATAGACTTAACTTGAATATGAAGTGTTTGAACATTTCATATTCAAAGTCAATAACAATGACCCCATTTAGTTATACTAGTGGAGATATGGTTAAATGAAAAGTCTTTCTAGTGTACTTTGTTCTTTTCTACATTTTGTTGGGTTTAAGTCATTGTGTTCTGGAAAGTGAGAAGTTGTTGATGAAGTCACATTCACACACATTCAATTCAACACATTCGTGGAAGATGGTTCGTTTTAAGTCATTGAGTTCTGGAACATGAGAAATTGCGGATGAAGAAGCCATGAACATACCTGGAATTAAGAAGTTATAGTGACAACTCCTCAATTTTGTTATGTTAAGAAGACTCCATTGACTTGGTTTTAAACTCTGCGTTTGGCTTCTTTCTCAACTAATCTTGATTAGTGCTCTGCAGTCTGGTATTAACAATCTCTAATTCATACAGACAGCAAAATCCCTTTTTCGGAGCTCTTCTCAGCATCTTGAACAATGTTCCACAGGTTGGTTGGTTAGTTTCTTTGTCAATTAAGCTCTCATTTTCCGATAACAACTCTTCATTCTTCTTGAGATAGGCTATATCCTTCAGTCTGCAGTTTATCCACCAAGCTTTCATTTACCTTTGATGACTCATCGAGTTTTTCAAAAGAACAAACCTCCATTGCTCTGAGCTTTCTGTTTTCTAACTTAACCTTCTTTAGCTTGACTTTTTTGTCCAACAGGCTTTCTTTAAGTTTCTGCTTCTCCAACTCTTTCCTACAGATCCTCATTCTTCTTTTCAAGTTCCTTCAGTTTAGTTTTCATACAAGCATCTTCTTCTTCCCATTTTCCTCAAGGTTAAACAAATTTACCTTACCAAATTCCCGATTTTTCCACACAAATGGAGTTTTCGCTGTTCCCCACATAGTCATAGAATTGACAAACTCATTTTGGGTGTCTTCTTCTCTCAGTCTTCAAGAATTTTTTCATAGTTTTCATTTGTATCTTTTGCAGCCACGTTATAACTTTTAATCTGGGCTCCATAATGTTCAAGCTATGGTTGACATATCAAGAGCTTCTCCTTTGCTTCCCTTGCTTTAAAAATACTTGCTTGCAAATCCAAAGTTAATCTTTCCATAGCTTTGTTGCTTTTATCTTCTTCTTCTTCTTCTTTCAGTTTTTGCAACTCAGTTGCAAGTTCCATATGGCTTTTCTTCCAAGAGTTTTCGTTTTTGTGAACTGCCTTAATTCCCCATTGTTCTCACTACTCTTCTCGACACGATGCTAAGCTGACAATCCCTGTCTGAGTTTGTCATTGGCTTACTTTGTCAAGAGCTCTACCTTTATCTTTCTTAAGCATTGCTACTTGCTCATTAGCTCTCCTAAAATCCTCCTGTATCTGATTCACTTGAGCAGGTACCTCAGATTCCTTCCTTCACGCTTTCTGAAAATGCCAAAAACAATATGATGATCAATCAATAAACCAAATTGGCATCAGATTTGTTCATGTTGGTATTGGCGAATGCAGTTTGCTATAAGGAGTCTCCATCAAACAAGATAAATCACAATGTCACAATCAAATCAATGAACAATAATAATTAAACAAACAAACCATCATCTCCATTTAATCGAATCTTTGGATCTAACTCCAAATACAAGCTTAAAAGTTAAAAACTCACTAAAGTGAAACCACTATTCAAACAATCTAGCCTTAATTTACAATGAAATTCATGATCAAACTGCTTGAAATAAGAACCATCTCAATTTAGAGCTCTAATTATCAATAACTATATCGTTAATTAGATCATAAGCATCAAAATGAAAATATAGGTACACTTCTATTATAATCCAAGAACACATTTTTCCACCATACATCTACTGATCACACACGTTATTAGCTTCCATTGATTATTAGTTTAGAACAACATTCAAACGAAGAACCATATTCATCAGAGACACACACACAAAGTCAAGACACAGAGAACTCAATTCAAGCTAAATTGGCTTTAGCCAGAGATTTCAATAGACTTAACTTGAGCCTTCTTCTTAGTCTCAACCTTAGGCACAGTCACAGTCAAAACTCCATTCTCCATAGAAGCCTTAACTTGATCCATCTTCACATTCTCCGGTAACCTAAACTTCCTCGAGAATCCCCCACTCGATCTCTCTACACGATGCCACGTGTCCTGCTTCTCCTCTTTCTCAACGTGTCTCTCTCCGCTGATCTTAAGCACAGTATCATCCTCTATCTCTACTTTAACCTCTTCTTTCTTCATCCCTGGCAAATCCGCCTTGAACACGTGCGCCTCCTCCGTCTCTTTCCAGTCCACACGTGCGTTCGCTATCGCCGATGACGATGAAGAAGACGGGAATTGAAGTTCCTTGAATGGATGATCCCAAACGTCGAGTGAGAATGGATCGAAGATGGTGTTGTTGATTCGTCTGTTGCTGCCGAAGAAGCTTGGAATTAGCGACATTTTCTTTGAGTGATTTCGAAATTTGAACAATTTTCCGACGATTCGATTTCGATTTCGATTTTTTGATGAAAGTTGGTGAGTCTGATGAATCTATATATGGTGGTGAAGAAGAAATCTCCAGAGCTTCTAGATTTTTTCGGATTCCAAGTTCTTCACGAGCATATTGGAGAGAAAAAGATGAAGATGAGGCAAATCCAGAAAACTCTAGAAGCATTTCAAGTTTTATTTGTGTGTTTCTGGGCCAAAATGGGCTTTAAAGGCCCAATATTCAGATATGAGCCTTAGAAAGAGTTAAAGATTTTGATTTTTCCATAAACGGTTGGGGGATTCGAAACAAACATGTTTCCCATAAACGTTGTGGGGGTTTCCTAAGAGAAAACATTACATGCATTCCTCTCTGAAAATAGAGAACTTTTTTCTTTGTCCTGGATGTATTCATAAATATTTATAATTAAGAACTTATCAATGCAATCTTTTGTTGAGAAAAGTATGATTCGAAGATTTCTTTTGGATCAGATATAGATGTTAAATAACACAGTATATTACATCCTAATAATATTGAGTAAAATAGAAAGAATAGTTCATTTCACGTTTTCTTACGTGTTAAGAAGAAACCGTGTTTTCTTGACTTGCTCATCAGCTAATGTGTAACAACATTGTGGATATAGTTTCATTCTTTTGCTTGTAATAAAATAACATCTTACGGAATCCTAGCTTTTTTTCCCTTGTAGATATATTCTTGGTTCTTCTAAGTGGCCACCAAGTTACATAAATATTTTATTATCTTCCTAATCCTAACTTTGATATATACCATTGAATACCTTATTATACACGAGTCTCTGATACTTACTTCAAAGTCCTAACATTTTCCATTACTACAATATAGAGGATTTACTTAACTATTCCTTGCGTACGTTAGAATCCTTCTTGGTATATTGAATCTATTTTTGATGTACAAAAACGTTAAAAAAACGACAAACAAGTGAGATAATATTTTGACCAAAAACAAAACAAAACAAGATAAATAAATTTGACATATTCGATGTTTTTAAAAAATTTGACATGTTCTTACCAAAATTGTGGAGTTAAAAACTAAAAAAGGAAACATTGGGATATAAATTAAAAGTAAATGTAAATTTTGTGGCAGGTGGTGAAATATGACAAGTTTAAAAGGCAAGCCAAAGACGAGTCTTGTTTAAAAAAGCCAAGTACCAACCGTAGCAGTCATCTTCATTGCCTTTTTTCTGCCGCCAAATCTTAATTTCTCCACAAAGCTTCTCTTCTCTCCTTCCATGGCGTATTTCTGAAAAAGTCTCCGGTGATTTCATAATGCCTTCCGTTCAAATCCGTTCTTCTCCGTCTCATTCTTCACAGCCGGCGCCGATGACGGTTACTGATCTCAAGCAACGAGTCATCGCCTGTCTCAATCGTCTCTCTGATCGTGACACTTTATCTCTCGCCGCCGCAGAGCTTGATTCAATTGCTCTTAATCTCTCACCGGAGAATTTCTCTCTGTTTATAAACTGTCTTCAGAGTACAGACTCTTCGGCGAAATCTCCGGTGAGAAAACATTGCGTTTCGCTTGTCTCTGTTCTTTCTCGTTCTCATGGTGATTCTCTCGCTCCTCATCTCTCAAAAATGGTCTCCACCGTCATCCGCCGCCTCCGTGATCCCGACTCCTCCGTCCGCGCTGCTTGTGCTGCTGCTTCCGTAGATATGACTACCAACATCACCGGACAGCCATTCTCCATCCTCTTGGGGCCGATGATTGAAGCACTTATCCACGACTGCGATCCCAATGCACAGATTGGCGCTGCCATGTGCCTTGCGGCTGCAGTAGATGCCGCGGATGAGCTGGATGTTGAGCAACTGCAGAAGGCACTTCCTAAAATCGGGAAATTGCTAAAATCTGATGGTTTCAAGGCGAAAGCGGAACTTCTTGGAGCCATAGGGAGCGTAATTGGCACCGTTGGCGGCCGAAACAGCGAAAAGGCGGTGCTAGATTGGCTTTTACCAAACGTCTCAGAGTTTCTAAGCAGCGATGATTGGCGTGCGAGAAAAGCTGCCGCAGAGGCGATGGCTAGAGTGGCTTTGGCGGAAGAAGAACTAGCTCCTTTGTATAAGAAGACATGTGTAGCTATTCTTGAGAGCAGAAAATTTGATAAGGTAAAATTTGGAAACAATTTATGGTAAATTTCATAAGAATGTGCAATCAATTTACTGTGTTTTGACTTAGTTGTTCATATCTTATTTGTGCAGGTCAAAATTGTTAGAGAGACGATGACTCGTACATTGAGTTTATGGAAGCAACTTGAAGGTGATTCAACAGAGGTCTCAGAGTCATCTTCCTCCTCCAAAACAGCTTCTTCTGGTTTCTCTGCGACTTCAGGAAAGAGAAGCAATACATTGAGAGGCAAAGATAGGAATTTAAACGCACCACTAAGCTCAAAGTCAAATGATGTTGAGCCTTTAGATCGTGGTGACACTCCTAAGGATGTGGAGCAGGAAGCTGTTGTATCGAAAGAGAAGCGGAAAACACTGGAAGTTAAACGGGCTCTGTTCCCGGCAAAGACGTATAAGGTCAAAGAGAATGCGTCGAACAAGTCACAAGTTGTTCAGAGTAGTGATGAGGAGAGTCCTAAAACTGAAAGTGGTAGTAGCAGTTCTCAGGCAAAGAATAATGCAGAAGAGTTGTCTCTGATAAGAAACCAGATCACTCAGATCGAAAAACAACAGTCCAGTCTGTTAGATCTCTTTCAGGTTACCTTTTTCTCTAAAACTCACTGATTATTATTTAACTTTTAAACATCCAACAGTGTTGTGCTGACTTTTGAATGTTTTCTTGGACTTAATATTGCAGAAGTTTATGGAGAGCTCGCAGAACGGTATGCAATCTCTGGAGAGACGAGTACGTGGTCTAGAAACATCCTTCAGCGTAATCTCCACTGATTTGCTGGTCTCTCGCAGCATAACACAAAATGGAAACCCCAAACGAAACGCCTGTCGACAGAACTGAAAAATCTGAAAGCTCATTTTACCTAACACAACACTTCAACATTAAGCATGTGAAGAAGATTCTTACCTTGGAATGCATAAATTCCAAGCTGATGGTTTTCTGAAGCTATTTTTACAATTCATTTCGACTTTATGTAACCACATAATCACACAATGAATTCATTTCAACTTTATATAACCACATGATCACAATGAACAATTACCTTTAGTGATCGATCCTTGTAATGTGTTTTCGAAAGATGATTACATCCTTTTCCGTTTTTCCGGTGTGGTTGCTTTCAAACTGTTACTCTGGAAATCTCATCAGAATCAATAAAATATCTCCCCAATGTCGCATCTAGCTTCTCCCCAATTGAAGAAATCCAGGCCTAGATATGATGAACAAACTTACACTTTGACTTGTCTTATTAACTTTTCTAAGTCACAACCAACATAGAGAAGTTAAAGATTTCCTAACCTGGTCTGCTGACGTGAAGCCTCTAATCGTATTTCCACCAATGACTGCGATTCCTTTATCTCCAAGCGGCTGCAAAATCACCGCCTGTAGAGAAAAAACAAGTATTCGTCACATGGATTCATGATCATTCCCTCACTCAAAAGAGTAACACTCAAATTCTCAACAAACCTGTGTATTTGCAGGTAGAAATGGTAACTCTGATCTCCCAGGATAAAGAGAAAGATTGGCCAAGTAACTCTCTGACATACAATCATTGTTCTTCTCTAAGATAAATGCATAATTCCACACAAAATATTATAAACAAAAATCCGTACTACTTACGTGCTTTAGATTTCATTACACCTCGGTAAACCGATCCTTGCATCAGCTTATCGGTGTTTACTACAACTGCTTTCTTGTCTTCAGGAGATTCAGCAACCATCCCAATTTGAATAAGGCAAATTCCATTGTAGACAATAACTAGAGACTTACAACACGTTGCTACCTTAAAAGATTCCCAAGCCCTGAGAAAATATACAAAAGTCAGATTCTATTTCTACATATCTCATGATAACATTCATCTTATATCAAACTTTAATAAGAGCTACTAAGCAGAGGATTACCATAACAATTCGGAAACTACCGATGCAGGAAGACCGGATTCTACAACTTTCCACTCGACACCGTCAGGTTGTACCTGATAACAAACAAAACCAAGAATCACATTGCATAGTCAAATCCTCCAAAGTTTCAATTCATAAACTTACAGGTGTTATGGACTTAGGTCGAATCGATAACCAGACTAAACCAGTCAATAAATTGGTGACAGCCAAGCCAAGCGCCAATAGATCTGCTCTAGACTGAGAGCTATACGAATTACAAAATCCACCAAATGAGCAACGATACAAAAATAAAAACAAAGGAATCGAAACTCGATTGGAGCCATTGTTTACCGATTATTTTTACCTGCTAGCATCGGCAACAGGAGCGATACCGGAAACAGTCCGATTGAAGAGAACAGCTAAAAGAGAAGCGCCTCCGACGTAGATCGGTAAGCTCCGAACCAAGTCATCGTTTTTGGAAATGAAATCAGCTACCAAATTCTTGCTCGGTTTCGGACCTCTGTAACTTCTCGGCTTCTGGTGAACCGAAAAGAAAATTTTTAAAAGGCAAAAAGAGAGAAAAGAAAAAAATAAAGAGACGAGGAATGAGAGAGAACCTGTGAGGTTGAAGAAGAAGAAGAATAAGCTCTGATAAAGCGCGGGAAATCTGAAGGAGTACGAGAGAATTTGCGATTAGGGTTCCAAGGGATTTGAATTTGGAGGATGATTCTCGCTTCCATTGAAGATGTTGTAGCAAGTGAGGTTAGAGATAGAAGATGAAACAATTGGCCGTTAAGGAGAAAGAAAGAACCTATTTCCATACGACGACGTTTCTTTCAAGGCAATTCTAATTGAATTTTAAGTACCGAGCTAAGAACCGGTTTCGAATTGAAAACCGACCAAATTTTGTTAAAACAAGTTTTACTGTTCGTTACCAACATCCGGTAAATAATAACTTTTGATAATTTGAATCAAAATTCAATATAATCTTTTATTTATTGCTAATCTAATCTTTTATTATTTATTGCTAATCTATATATAATGGGAGAGTTTTCTCTCCATCTAGGGTGTCCACATCAGCATCCATGTCATCATAATTTATTTTTTTGTTGGCTCCACCTATTTCATTTATTAAAATAAAAACAATTAAACTAAAACTAATTCACACATTAAATAAAAATAATAATTGACAAAAATTAATGAAATATTATGAAAAAACGAAAAAAATTGTATATTAGATCATATACAATATGAAAATTTTGAATAGAGATTGAATAAATATTAGATCATTATATTTTAACATATAATGAGTAAATATTTTTAAATAGTTAGAGATACGAAAAAAGAAACTTATCATATATTTTAATGGTAGAAAATTTATTTTTTAAGAGTTACAATTATTTAGTAGAGTAAAGAAAATAAGAGTTAAAAAACCAAATTTAAAGGTTTTTACTTAAAATAGAAAGCAATTCATTTCTGGAAAATAGACATTTAAAATTTGAGTACCGATTTTTAAATGTCTATTTTCCAGATATGTAGATGATAAGTCCACTGATGGACAGGCACCATCACACCAGGGATCGAGTCCCTCTCCTTACAATTTGTAGGGATTAGGCTAATGGGCCGGCCAGTTGTGGCCCAAGGTTGACAAAAAAAAAAAAAAAATTTGAGTACCGATTAAAAAATAAAAAGAATTTAGAACATATTATTATTTATAATTATAATATAATATATATTAGTATATTTTCTATATTATTAATTTTTTCTAAATTAAAAAGTGAATACCTAAAAAAGAAAAACTAAATATTAATTAGTGTTTAGAAAATTAACATAGATTGAAAAAAATTAAGGTGATTTGCAATAATAAAAAAAACTATCCTGAACTTCAAAAATAAAAATAAAATAATCTTATCGAGTATTAAAACTGTGTAATAATAATATTTGAGAATGCTATTTGGAAATTAGAATAGTAATGGTAGATAGAAGAGTTTTTCATTAGAAATAAGAGAAATTGTTAAAAATACCCCTTTTGGTTTGCCTCTTTTCAAAAATGCTCATTTTAGATGTCCATTTTAAAAAATGCCCCTTTTTAAATCTGAAATTTTTATAAAGTTTTATTAGGTTTATAAGGTACTTATGGATTGTAACTACTACTTGAAGACTCGATCCAAGTATTTATAAAATTTTATAAGGTGTTTTTAAAGGTTTTACAAGTTATTTTAAAGATTTTTTAAGGTTTTTCAAAGGTTTTACAAGATATTTTAAAGGTTTTTAAAAGTATTTAAAATGCATTTATAAGGTATTTATAAAGTATTTATAAGATTTTAGATACATAGAAATGTAGTTTGTGTATGTTTTAATAATATTACATACATATTTGGGTAAATCTTATATTTTTAAGAGCATTTTTTATAAGGTTTTTTAAAAGGGGTATTTTTGAAAAGTGGCATTGAAAAAGTGGCATTTTTGCAAAAGCCCCTAGAAATAAAAAGGATTTTTTTTAAAAAAAATAAATGTATTTTAAAATTAGAATAATTTTTATGAGTTCGTAAGTGTCACATTAAGAATACTTTCTAGAATCATAATATACGTTAAATTATATATGTAGAAAGAGATTTTTGTATTTTTCAAATGGTCAAGATAAAGTGTAAAATTTCACGTTGAAATCCTATGTTTACGAATAGGAATGAGTCTATGAAATCTATTTTCTATAAAGCAATTTTAGATGCACCAAAACATGGTAAAAAAAAGCTTTATGATAAACATCTCCTCAGATTTCTGTTCAATTTAATAAAAAGATCATGAAACTTATAAAAAAAAAAATTGAGTATCGAATGATATGAAGGAGAAAATAGAAATGATCTAAGGAAAAAAGAGAGTAGATGTTGGGAGACGACGAGTGAATCATAGAAGATAACGAAAAATATTGTAGTGAAAAATGTGAGAAACGTTTTACTACGTTGGAGAAACTTTATATCTTACTCATATTTAAACATGAAACTTTTGAATTGAGATTAGAGAAATATAAAATTAGATAATTATATCTTAACATATAATGCGTAATTATTTTTAAATAGTTAGAGATAAGAAAACGGAAACTTATCATATATTTTAATGGAACAACAATCACTTTTAAGAATTACAATTATTTAGTAGAATAAAGAAAGTAAGAATTAATAAATACCAAATCTATATATATAATGGGAGAGTTTTCTCTCCATCTAGGGTATCCACATCAGCATCCATGTCATCATAATTTATTTTTTTTGTGGGCTCCACCTATTTCATTTATTAAAACAAAAACAATTAAACTAAAACTAATTCACACATTAAATAAAAATAATAATTGACAAAAATTAATGAAATATTATGAAAAAACGAAAAAAATTGTATATTAGATCATATACAATATGAAAATTTTGAATAGAGATTGAATAAATATTAGATCATTATATTTTAACATATAATGAGTAAATATTTTTAAATAGTTAGAGATACGAAAAAAGAAACTTATCATATATTTTAATGGTACAAAATTTATTTTTTAAGAGTTACAATTATTTAGTAGAGTAAAGAAAATAAGAGTTAAAAAACCAAATTTAAAGGTTTTTACTTAAAATAGAAAGCAATTCATTTCTGGAAAATAGACATTTAAAATTTGAGTACCGATTAAAAAATAAAAAGAATTTAGAACATATTATTATTTATAATTATAATATAATATATATTAGTATATTTTCTATATTATTAATTTTTTCTAAATTAAAAAGTGAATACCTAAAAAAGAAAAACTAAATATTAATTAGTGTTTAGAAAATTAACATAGATTGAAAAAAATTAAGGTGATTTGCAATAATAAAAAAAAACTATCCTGAACTTCAAAAATAAAAATAAAATAATCTTATCGAGTATTAAAACTGTGTAATAATAATATTTGAGAATGCTATTTGGAAATTAGAATAGTAATGGTAGATAGAAGAGTTTTTCATTAGAAATAAGGGAAATTGTTAAAAATACCCCTTTTGGTGTGCCTCTTTTCAAAAATGCCCCTTTTAGATGTCCATTTTAAAAAATGCCCCTTTTTAAATCTGAAATTTTTATAAAGTTTTATTAGGTTTATAAGGTACTTATGGATTGTAACTACTACTTGAAGACTCGATCCAAGTATTTATAAAATTTTATAAGGTGTTTTGAAAGGTTTTACAAGTTATTTTAAAGAATTTTTAAGGTTTTTCAAAGGTTTTACAAGATATTTTAAAGGTTTTTAAAAGTATTTAAAATGCATTTATAAGGTATTTATAAAGTATTTATAAGATTTTAGATACATAGAAATGTAGTTTGTGTATGTTTTAATAATATTACATACATATTTGGGTAAATCTTATATTTTTAAGAGCATTTTTTATAAGGTTTTTTAAAAGGGGTATTTTTGAAAAGTGGCATTGAAAAAGTGGCATTTTTGCAAAAGCCCCTAGAAATAAAAAGGATTTTTTTTTAAAAAAATAAATGTATTTTAAAATTAGAATAATTTTTATGAGTTCGTAAGTGTCACATTAAGAATACTTTCTAGAATCATAATATACGTTAAATTATATATGTAGAAAGAGATTTTTGTATTTTTCAAATGGTCAAGATAAAGTGCAAAATTTCACGTTGAAATCCTATGTTTACGAATAGGAATGAGTCTATGAAATCTATTTTCTATAAAGCAATTTTAGATGCACCAAAACATGGTAAAAAAAAGCTTTATGATAAACATCTTCTCAGATTTCTGTTCAATTTAATAAAAAGATCATGAAACTTATAAAAAAAAAATTGAGTATCGAATGATATGAAGGAGAAAATAGAAATGATCTAAGGAAAAAAGAGAGTAGATGTTGGGAGACGACGAGTGAATCATAGAAGATAACGAAAAATATTGTAGTGAAAAATGTGAGAAACGTTTTACTACGTTGGAGAAACTTTATATCTTACTCATATTTAAACATGAAACTTTTGAATTGAGATTAGAGAAATATAAAATTAGATAATTATATCTTAACATATAATGCGTAATTATTTTTAAATAGTTAGAGATAAGAAAACGGAAACTTATCATATATTTTAATGGAACAACAATCACTTTTAAGAATTACAATTATTTAGTAGAATAAAGAAAGTAAGAATTAATAAATACCAAATCTATATATATAATGGGAGAGTTTTCTCTCCATCTAGGGTATCCACATCAGCATCCATGTCATCATAATTTATTTTTTTTGTGGGCTCCACCTATTTCATTTATTAAAACAAAAACAATTAAACTAAAACTAATTCACACATTAAATAAAAATAATAATTGACAAAAATTAATGAAATATTATGAAAAAACGAAAAAAATTGTATATTAGATCATATACAATATGAAAATTTTGAATAGAGATTGGATAAATATTAGATCATTATATTTTAACATATAATGAGTAAATATTTTTAAATAGTTAGAGATACGAAAAAAGAAACTTATCATATATTTTAATGGTACAAAATTTATTTTTTAAGAGTTACAATTATTTAGTAGAGGAAAGAAAATAAGAGTTAAAAAACCAAATTTAAAGGTTTTTACTTAAAATAGAAAGCAATTCATTTCTGGAAAATAGAACATATTATTATTTATAATTATAATATATTATATATTAGTATATTTTCTATATTATTAATTTTAATTATAATATATTATATATTAGTATATTTTCTATATTATTAATTTTTTCTAAATTAAAAAGTGAATACCTAAAAAAGAAAAACTAAATATTAATTAGTGTTTAGAAAATTAACATAGATTGAAAAAAATTAAGGTGATTTGCAATAATAAAAAAAACTATCCTGAACTTCAAAAATAAAAATAAAATAATCTTATCGAGTATTAAAACTGTGTAATAA